TTTTTTAGTAGGGACAGGGTCTCACTCTTGCTTAGGCTGAATGAGCTCAAGCAATCCAGCCACCTTGGCCTCCCAGAGTGCAAGGATTACAGGTGGGAGCCACGGGCCTGCCTGATACTTCAACTTCTTAACAGCTTGTGTGGCAGGTTCCCTGGGCCTTTTCTTACTGCTTACCTCCTGGTTGTTAATCCCCACCCCAGGCACCTACAAAGAACAGTGCTGGGCACACAAAAGCTATCAGAAGGGGTTCACTAGATGCCAGAGGGGCCCTAGAGGAGTAAGAAGTATTTAGTGCTTCTTCAGGCTTGTACAAGTCACCATCCCCAGTCTAGTCACATTTACCTCCACCCCCACACTTGGCAAGAAAGGAGGAGGGGAGCTTCTTGTTTTCCTGTCTGGGGGGAGGGGTCAGCAAAGGCTTCTTGGAGGCCCAGTGACCCCAAGGGTTCCTCTCAGGACACTCTCAGCCTCTGTCCCTTCCTTCCCTCCTCTTCCCCGTCTTTCTCTCCCCTCCCCCACTTCAGGTTTGACCCCTTCCCTGAGGTCCCTTTCTTATCTACAACTGCACTCACCTGCCACCATCCTAGAAAAATGCCTGCACACAGTTTATATACCCTGGCAGTGCTTGTGATTTCCATATCTCTATTTGCATATCATTTGCATGGCCGTATGTGCAGAGGGTCTGACTTTCTGACCACCATATCTGGGACTTGTTGCTCTTTTCTGGGTACAACATCACTTTTTTTCCCCCTGGGATTAAGTTTTCCAAAAGCCACAAAAGCTGTGTTTGACAATTTCCAAAGGACGTCTGGCTCCAGCAGCCTAGGATTCTGAGGCCCCCAGGGGGAAGGGGGAGATGGAGTTTTTGGAAGGGGGGTGTACTGAGGCATAGCTTTGAATACCAAGCATGGAGTGGGGAGGTGAGAGGATGAACAGGTGGGAGGAGTGGGGGTGGGGAAACGTATCAGGGGTGGTCGATTCTACCTCTCAGCAATTCATTTACTTTTTGAATAAATACAGATCAAATGCTTCCTATGTGCCAAGAACAGAGCAGCGTGCTGAACACACCATCTAATTTAGTCAGAAGGTAACAATTATTAGTCCCCTCTAAAGACAGGAAATTGGGGTTCAAGGAGGCTAATGCAGTTGGCACAGTTGGGATTTAGACCTCAACCTGCCTGACCCCAAAGTCAGTGCTCCTAACCTTGCTCTCCAATTTCTAAACTTGGCCCCTCCTTCTCTTCTCCTTCCTTCTCTTATCATCAGATAACTTAAAATAGAAAGAAACTAGATACACTTCTGACCCCCTCAGATGCTGGGTAGGCACAGCATCACACATGGGGGCAGAGGAAGATAAACAACTTTCATTCTTTCTCACTTTGACACGTGTGCTCTCCATTTCAACCAGACAACTAGAATAAGAGTCCAAAAGGCCCCTTTATCCCAGAGCCTCATGATCTCCACAAAACTAGCTTTTTGAGTTCTGAGTTGGAGAACAGTGGTGAAGAAGGTGCCAACCCCCTAGGCCTGATATTCCATGTTCCTGTTTGCTTAGGAGAGGAAAAGCTGTGGGGAAGATAGAGAGAGAGAGAGGGAGAAAAAGAAGTTTGCCTGGAGGTTAGAAAGGAACAGAATAAAGAAAGGGAGAAAGAAGCAAGGACAGGAAATTTCAGTGCCTTTGGACATCAAAAGAGCTGTATGCAAATGAATGCAAATAAAATGCAAATTATCCCTCCCTTTTTTACCCCACCCTTTCTGGACAGCTGGAGGACTTCTTCAGCGAGTAGCCAAAGCCTTACTCCAGGATGCTGTAGTTTCAAAACGGGTCTTCTTGGAGTAGCATCTAACCCCATTGGCTGCACCTCTAGGGAGTCGCTAGCTCCCCAGGCTCCATTGCTACTTGAGCATATGTTCATCTTTCTTTACTTTAAGGACAGAGGGCTCTATCTGTGAAGCCTCCCCTTCTAGATGCAATGGCTGGAAATGGTCTACAGCCCTGGAGAGGGTGGGAGGTGGGCCTTTCCCCACTTTGGCAGGGGAAAGTGGCTTTCCTGGCTGTAAGCCCTGCTGCTCACTCCCACTTCTTGTCGTGTCAGCTGGATTGAGTTGTCAGGGCTGGGAGAAAGGTGGAGAGGTGTCCTGGAAGGCCACCAAGCAACAAGTCCCTTCTAGCTTCTTCCTTCTGCCAGATGGGCCACAGGGCCCAGGGCACAGGGGTGCAGGATGGGGGTCAGCTCCCTTCCTTGGAATGATCAAAGGGAGTAGATCCTAATTCAGGCTTCCCCAAAAAGCAGAGAGAAGCAAAGTAGAGGCCAGGACTGTTTTTAATCACACCTCAGAGTAAGTCTGATGGCACCCTTGCCAGGAGGCATTTGCAGAACACAGGTGAAGGGGACAGAATAAGAGGTGTCTTGGAAACCAGGATCAAGCAACTGTGTCTGGGGAGTGGACGGGAAAGGGCACTGGAGTCAGGATACAGAGTTATTCCCTGCCCTGATATCCCTAATGCTGAATACCCCACACCAAGGACATCCTCCGCATCCAGTATCCAGCCTTCCGCACATTGAGAGAGGGGAATATACACAAATTCATTTTGCATGTAAAGGTTCAGAATAGATAATAATATGCATTTTAATTAAAAAACAGCATAATAACAATGGTGTCTTTCAATCACCTTTTTATGACCTTGAGGCCAGCATTAGGCCTGGGCTGGACCTTTCTAGCCCTACCTTCAACGGAGCTCTGCCTCAACCAGCCCTTTCCTGGTTCTCTCAGTCCACCTCAGACCTTCATGGTGCATCTGCCCTCTCTGGGCAAGTCTAGGCTCAGCGCGCCCTCTTGTGGTAAAGAGGGCATATGACCCTGACTTTTGCTCCCCAGCTTACAAGACTCTGGAGAGGTGTCCTCAACCAGGAGTACCCATTCATGGCTGCAGGAACCACACATGAGGGCCCTGTTCCAGGCAAGGTGGAGATGTGAACACTGTTGAGTCTTTTAGCCCCTGTTCACTATCAAAGGGCATACCTCACCATGGAATCTCAGCTGGACTCAGCCAGCTATGTTCTGCCCAGTCAATGCAGTGACAGCAGCTCCTGGTCTTGTTGGGCTGTCTGTCCTCTTGTCCTGTTGCTGGACAGCTCTGCCAGTTAAAAGTGGTTGCCTCCCATACTGCTCCCGACACTGCTGAGCTCCATGCCAACTCGGCACCCACACATGTGGGAGATCAGTGGCCATTCATCCATTCAAAGCTCTATGGAGTACCCATGGGAGTCCCTACACCGGACTGGAGGTATAACAGACACTGTACCCCCCACAGAAAGTTAGCAGTCTTTTGATGCCTGTGGACCAGTTGAGCAGGCAAGTTCCCCACCCAGTGGCATGTGACCTAATAGGAAACCAGGGGGTGCCATGGGCTGTGGGGGCACACCTTACCTGGATTTGGGGACATCAGGAAAGGCTCCTTGGAGGAAAGGATGTCTAAGCTGAGATCCCAGCTAACAGGGGGAAAGCAAAGGGAACAACCAGCAAGTGCCTGGCAGAGACTGAGTAGAAGAGGTGGACCAGCCTGAGTGAGTGGGGAGGATGATATTCTTACAGGGAGGACCTTGAAACTGCCTGACTTAGACAGGTGGATATAGTTTACCAGTTTCAATAATAAGTAACTTGTGACAAACATCACAGCTGATTGCAGCATAGCCTAGGATGGCAATTCCAAGGTTGGGGGTTGCTGGGGAGGAAGGTGCTGGTAAAAATTCATCAAGGAGTCAGGAGCAATAGGGCAGAGGTGGAGAAGAAACCAGATTTGAGGTATTCTCTTCTTCATTTTGTCCTTTTTTTTTTTTTGAGATAGAGTCTCACTCTGTTGCCCTAGGTAGAGTGCCATGGCATCATAGCTCACAGCAACCTCAAACTCTTGGGCTCAAGGGATCTTCCTGCCTCAGTCTCCCAAGTAGCTGGGACTCCAGGCACCCACCACAATGCCTGGCTAATTTTTCTATTTTAGTAGAGATGGGGTCTCGCTCTTGCTCAGGCTGATCTCAAACTCCTGAGCCCATGCAATCCACCTGCCTCGGCTTCCCAGAGTGATAGGATTGCAGGGGTAAGCCACTGCACCTGGTCTTCATTTTGTTCTTGATGGGAAGATCTGAATTCTCTTCCTGCAGTTGAGAAAGAGGCAGGAAAGAGAGATGGAAGAGAGAATAGTTTCCCCTGAGGGGTACATCCCTGAGGAGGGGAGAGGAGCTGGGATATAGAGTCCTGGGTGCAGGGGAGGGTGAGGGGAAGGGAGGACAGGCACATTTCTCCCATTATGGGAGAAGGAGGGGATCCAGAAAGATAGGTGTGGACTGAAGTCAGAGAGGAGCCTGGCATTCCCTCAGGCTTCTGCTTTCTGTGACACAGGAGAGGAGGGAGCTGGGAATGGAATGTCCCTTCACCCTGCCTCTCCCCGCTCAGGAATCAGGCCTTTCACAGTTGACATGCACCAGGAGCCAGGGTCCGGGAGTTCGTTTTCCCAGAAGGGATGCAGACACCACCCAGAAAGGCTGGGCCTGGCTCCCAGAGTTGCTCCACCAGAAGCCCCTGAGGTCCGGCCCTTCTTCGCTGAGTCCCTGCTGAGAGAGCCTGTCCTTGCCACCTCACTGGTGCCCTCTTCCCTTCTGCTGTGCATCCTTCTACATCCCAGTGTGGTTACCAGTTAGGGGCTCTGCAGGAAAACAGTCAACTCAGCTGTGCGCCTTTAGAAAAGGTGTTGCTTATTGATAGAGGTGCAGAAGGCTAGAAAGAAGCGCTAGAAAGAAGGAGGGAGGTGGAGGCAGGGTGATGGGGCCCCTGGGTCCTCAGAGAGAGCTAGAGCCGTGGCGGGATGAAGCGGCAGGTGTGGGGCTGAAGCGTGAGTAGCAGGGAACACACAGTACGCGCTTGGGTCCGCCCATCTGTGGGCACTTCTCATTGGCTGAAGCCGGAGGGTTACTCCACCCACTATTCCCAGGTCCAGGGAAGACACTGGGATAGAGGTCCCCATCTGTGGGGTCCCGCAGTTCCCCCCTAAGTTTTCCCATGGCTGACAAGACTGAAGGGAGAGAAGCTTGAAGAAAACCCACAGAAAGTCCCCAACATGGCCCAGCCCAGTCTGGGAGAGGCTGCCAGCCGGGCCTGGCCCAGCATTTCTCTCTCCTGAGAGTTGGATTTCTTGTCTTTCTTGAGGGTACCTTGTGTGCCCGGGCAAAGGGGCCAATCAGGAGCCTGTTCTTGACAACTCTGTTCCCAGGGAAGCATTGGACACTCTCTCCCCTAGCCCATATTCAGTGCTATTATGGGGACTGGCCGCCCCAGGGCCACACTGCTTATCCTACCCAAACCTGCAGGTAGCTGTGCTCTCCAAGGCTGAGCTGGCCAACCTGATAAAACTGTCTGGGGTAGGAGGTGGCATGGGACAAGGATCCCAGCCCTGTTCCAACGAGCTATTTGAACCTGGGCAAGGCACACACTTTTACAGGTGAGTCCCATCTATAGAATGTTACAGAATCACTTGGAGGAACCAGTGGACTAAGTTGCATGAAGGTGCTTTGCAAGCCCTAAAGCCCACAGAGAAGGGGGTACAGATATTACCCCCTGGGTGTTCTGACATGGCCACAAAGGCCTTCTGGGGTTAGTAAAGCCTCATCTCAGTGCTTCTCACATAGCTTATCATCTACTTCTCTTTTAACAAGTCCCAGATGATTCTTGTGCACACTGAAACTTGAGAATCTCTGCAGAGATTAGACTAAGACCAGGGAAAAGCTGATGGCAGGGATGTCCAGTGACAGTGTCCAGAGCTTCCTCACCACCAGGGACAGGCAGGCTGGAAGGTATGAGTCAAGCAATATCAGAACAACACCCCAACTCTGGAAGAAACATTACCTTTTAAGAAAGCATTATTTTTGGTCTGCGAGTCAGTAGAGAAGGTATATGAATTTAAGGACTCCATACTCAGCAATAGAGGCACGCAGTAGGGTGGGAGGCGCTTCTCAGAAGATCCCCGCCCCCGACCGGGAATAGCAGCAGCTCAGGACTGAGGGCCTAGACAGGGTGGAGAAGAAGAGGCCAGGGGTGGGGAGGGACACCTCCCTCCTGGACCCCCCAGCAAGGCTGAAGATGGTCCTTGAAAACAGATTAGAAGGGAGGCTTGCCCACCTGAAAGGGCCATCTCTGCATCGACCCTCAGCTTGACCAAGGCCAAACAAGCCTGGCTCCCCCAACCCTCTGGCCTGCAGGGGTTCAAGGGACAGCAGCAGCCTGTTCTGGGGTGCCGGGGACAGAGTAAAGGGGACTGCCCTGCATGCCCCTTCCCTCTCTAAGGAAGGATGTAGCCCCCTGTGGAACCCACTGGACTTTCCCAGCCCCTGAGCACTGCAGCCTCCACCTCGCCAAACTGTTACCATCTTCCAGCCTTGGTCCACACACCGTGTCTTCCAGGAAGCCTTCCCTCACAAATGCAACCTGCACCTCCCTCTTTAACCCTCCAGCATTTCCTGTTACAGCCTCTTTACACTGAAAAGATACTTTGGAAGTCAAGAGCCTTCCAGATGTCTGATTCGGTTGTCTCAGGTTTTTGGATATAGGAATGTCAGCTTTTTTCACTAATAGTAACAATATTAACCTTGGCTAACAGTGAGCACTCAATGGGTAGTAGTTGCCAAGCAAGAATTCACTTAAGTGTCATTTTATAGCTGAGAGAGCTGAGGCACAGAGAGGTAAAGTAACTTGACCCAGGACTGCACAGCCAGAAAGCAGCAGGGCTTGGAACGCTTGAAGTCCGGCTCCAGAGTTTCAGTCTTATCTTTTGCCTTCAAGCAGGCTTATTATGGTTACAGCCATGTCTTCTTGAGAGTAGATGTTTTAACACCCTTCCCCAAGTCTCCTCCTCCCCCTTCTTCCCCCAAATGACTGAGCACTCAGTAGGTGCTCTAAAAGTCGTGCCAAGATAGGCCACAGGGACACTTCTGACACCAGGTGGCAGCATTGGCTAAAGGGTCTGTCCAAACTCCAGGTCTGGCGTTGTCAGTCAAGTAAAAATTTAAATTTTTTATTTCTGGTACAAATGATAAATACTTTGCATTAAAAATCTGGAATTCAAGTTTTCCTAATACTTCATGCTCTCTCTCCACCCCAGAAAGTTACAAAAATATTTCTGTTTAGCGGGGAAAGCACTGGTGCCTGCTCTCGAGAAGTCCAGGTCTGGTGAAAGGCACATGTGGTCTGTTTCCATGGTGGGGGGTTCCCCCTGCCCCACAGGCAGCCTCGGGGGCGGAAGTGAAAAGAATGCACCTACTGGGTATGGGGGGCTGTGTCCCCAAGAACTCCCTCTTGGAGGGTAAAGATCCCCTCTATGTTGGGGAGTAGGAAGGTGTGAGGCCAGCACCTTCCAGATGTGTGTGGGGAGGTGGGCGGAACAGGCATAGACTCCTTTTAGGGTCTAAAACTTTTAACAAGTTCATGGACCATCACATTCTGGCTGCTTGAAAGTGAACACGTCAGGGGAGATGATGGAGGAGAGGGGTGCAAGTTTGGAGAGCCCTTTTCTACCTCTCTGGCCCGAAAGAAGGCACAGGGTGGGAGAGGGGGCTGCCTTCATGCATGACCCCCCTGCCAGGCCACACCCCCTTTCACAGTCTTGCAGGATGGGGCCAGAGGGAGCCCAGGCTCAGGCCAGGGCAGTGGGGAGAGGGAAATAAGGCATCGAGTGGGGCTGCCACCCCTCTACTGGCTGGGAGAGGAGCAGTGGGCCCAGAGCAGCCTCCTCCAGGCCCACCCCTCTCCCCAGCCAGCTAGGGGTCTTCATCCCAGAGACACAGCTGCCTCTGGGGCACATAGAAGTTGAAGCTGTAGCTCTTCTGGCAGCTGCGGATCCCGCACTTGTAGGGCGCAGGCCGGTCGCGGCTGTGGCAGTACTTCAGCATACAGGGGTACCAGGCCAGGCTCAGGCCATAGTGGCAGACACAGGGCTTCCCCCAGTCCCCTCCCTGCCTGCAGCGAGGCAGCTCTGCCTGCTCTGAGGCCTTGGGCAGAGCCTCGAACACAGAGCTGTCCACACCTGGGGGAGAGAGACAGGGATCAGTGTGGTGGTGGTGGGGGGGAGGATGGGAGCTGTCTCGCTGTCCCCTACTTGGCCTCTTCAGTCATTCAACAAGCATTTGTAGATGCCTCTGTCCCCTAGCTGCCACAGGGACCCAGGGGTAAGACCTGGGTGTCAGGCTCCTCACCAGGCTAGGAGGAGAAACAGATTAAATGACAATGACCCTCATCTATGGAGTCTCAACTGTGTGCCAGGGACCCTACATGCAGTACCTCTTTCTATCACCCCGAAGATACTGCCATCCCAGTTCTAATGATGCAAAAATGGCCCGGAGAAGTTTTATGATCCGTCTGAGGTTCACAGTAAGTGAACTCAGGACTGGAACCCAGGTCTGTCTGACTTCAGGGCCTCTACTCAGCCATACTGTCACACATGCTTTAAAAAAATCACCATGTTGGAGTGTGCTGACATAGAAGCATGGGGGGACAGAGTAGGGAATGGAAGCCCGCTTAAAAAAAGGTGGTATTTGAGTAGGGCCAGGCAGGGAAGGGACAACACAAACATGTCCACAGAGGGGAGCTCAGGGTGGCCAGGGTTTGGGGCAGACAGGAGAGTGTGCCTGTGACAGGTGTTGGCAGGGACCTAGCTGGTCTATCTCAGTGGCTATGGGAAGGACCAGCTTTGGGGGTGCTCATATCAAACCTGCACCTTGGTAAGAGAGACAGATGACAGGGGAGTGTGTGTGGGGGGTATGACTACAGCTCTGCTGGCCATTTCCAAACCCAGCCCTGCCCTGGGAAGGGCAGGAACTTCTCTAGTGCTCAGCTGGCCAGACAGAAGGAGCGGGGGCCTGGAATCGGAATGGCGACTTATCCCCTCTACACAGAGGACCTGCCGGCAGTCCTGGAAAGGTCCCCAGAAATAGGCCAGCACTAAAGTCACAGAGGTCAGAAGGGAAGGCAGGGGCCACACAGGGAAGATTCCTGAGGATCTTGGGGAGAGATGCCGGCACCAGGGACAGCGTGAAACTGATTTCTGAGAGGTGGCCAGGGGGAATGGGTGCCTATGCCCTGCTCCCGTGACAGAATATCCCACTTCTGTGTCCTAAGGGCAGGGATGAGGGGAAGTGACGAGGATGCTCCCTCTGCAGAGCCTAACACAGTCCTGTGTCCCTATCTGCGTTAGCTCCCTTTCATCTGGCTGACTCTTTCCACCGAGGAGCCAATAGGTGCCACCTCCTCCAAGAAGCCCTCCCTGGCCCGCTGCATTCTGGTTTAGGAGCACTCTTAGCTTCTGTTCATCACTATATCATATTTAACTCTGCAGACCTATCCCCCAGGAAGCTCTGGAAAGACAAGGACTGGGTGTCACATCTCTGATTTTAAAGTCAAAACATCTCTGGAGGTGCTCAATAAATGCCTCTTGAGTGAAAGACCCACTTCACTATCGATCCCCTGCTGTCTCCCCTGTCTGCTTGCCCACTGCCCAGCACCCAGCAGTGCCCAGCACCCAGCTGACCTTGCTCCAGCCAGAAGCGGACATCCTCCTGGCGGGTGTAGATGGCATCCACCGCCTCAGCGCACACGTTGTGGAGATGGGGGCTCAGTAGGCCCCCCTGGCTGAAGTTGACAGCGACGTCCATGTGTAGCTGCTCTAGGCCCCGAACCTCCTCCGCCTGCCGCACGGCCCGTGGGTTTTTCTGTGTGCAGGAAAGGAGCCACTCTTACCCGGGTTCAGCGTGCTCTCTGCCCATCCTCCCTGACCTCTGGACCAGGATCCAGGGAACTGAGTCTCTCTGGAAGGGCAGGCAAAGGGGTCGGGGTGGGGGGGCCGGGGCAGGCCCTGCTGGATAGGGTGGGGCGCTTAGCTGAGACTGGGGAAAGGCCTAGAGTCTAAGAAGGGGCCGGAATAAGGTCAGCAGGTTTAGGCGTTTTGAACAATGCTGAACACTTTTCATATGTTATCTCACTGAATTTTCTCCCTAAACTCATTTTCTAAGTGAGAAAATTGAGGCTTTGAAGGCAAGGTAACTTGTCTTGTTAGCTGATCAGTGATGGAGGGCATGTGGTGCTGGATCTGATGTCAGAGGCCAATTCCCTAACCTCTGCGTAAGTGGGAGAGAGCTGGGACCAGGGACTGAGGCCAAATCTGGGGGCCGGGGCTCAGTTGAGATCTGGGACTATGAGGTCAGGCTTATCCTGCAGCAAAATAGGGCTCGGGGCTCTAGGGTGGGTGGGTGCTTGGGGAGAAGGCTAAGGAAGGGCAGGGGCACCAAGTCCAAGAACAGCAGGTCAGGAGCTGAGTGGGAGGCTGAGGTTGGGGTGGGCCCAGGCTGGGTACAGGACTCGGGGCACCAGGTCAGAGCAGATCCCGGGGAGGCACCCACCTGCCGAAGCTTGGCCATGGCCTCACTGGGGATGATCTCATTGTGCTGTAGACGGGTGACAAAACAGAGGGCCTGGAACTGGCTCTGCCCCTTTTCCAGCTCCCCCAGGATCAGGGCCCGGAAAATCTTCACATCCTGAAAGAGAAGGGCAGGAGGATGGGAGACCAGCTGGAGGGATCAGGGCTTCCCTGCCAGCCCCCCTGGTGCTCAGCTTGGGCCTTGGCAGGAGGGCTAGAGCTGCCTGGCAACAGACATCTCCCTCCTGCTGGTCTAGGAATTTTTATCTTTTCCATTTAAACTCTTGACTTAAAAGCACACACACAAATTGTTCCAAAGCCTCCTGGAAAAGTGATAAAATGAACCATTGGAGAAATTTTCAAAAATTCAAAAACCTTCAGGTATAGAGCTTCACCTTAAAGAAAACAGCACCTCGGCTCGGCACTTGTGGCTAAAGTGGCTAAGGCGCCAGCCACATACACCTAAGGTGGCGGGTTCGAATCCAGCCTGGGCCTGCCAAACAATGACGGCTGCAACCAAAAAAATAATAATAATATCCAGGCATTGTGGCGAGGGCCTGCGGTCCCAGCTACTTGGGAGGCTGAGGCAGGAGACTCACTTGAGCCCAGGAGTTGGAGGTTGCTATGAGCTGTGATGCCACAGCACTCTACCCAGGGGGATAGCTTGAGGCTCCGTCTCAAAAAAAAAAAAAAAAAGAAAACAGCACCTCTTTTTGGCAGCTTATTTATTCACAGGTGATGATGGGGTGGGGCTGGGTACCCACAACCACTTGACCAGGGCATGATGCTGGAGGGGGTACACACACGTCTTAAAGTCTTACTCAGTATGCTGGGGAGAGGCCTCAAGATGTCCCTGGTGCTTCTGCAGCTGGGCTCCTGGCCACTCCCAGGGACTGCCTATGCTAGTGGGGGCAGGATGGGGTTAAGGGCAGGGGCACCAGGCTGGCTTCCAGCCTGAGGGAGCTGGATGGCTCAGCTTCCCCTTCCCCCATGGGTTTTACTAATGGCAATGTCCAAAGCCCAAGGTCTCCTTCCTGTTACTCACACTGTGATGGTGGAGTCCAGAGCAGGGCAGAGGGAGAAGGGTCATAGGGTGGGATGGCTGTCCCTTCTCAATCCTGGGGCTGGATCCCTGGGCTCTGCCCACTTACACTGCCCACCACGCCCCCTCCACCTTCTCACCCATCTTTGTACCTTAACTCTACTCCCAGTGAGAAATTAGCATCTAAATCTGTCAAGAGCCCTCCCACCATGGAGGCACCCTGGCCTCAATGACTGTTCTCTGCTATGACCCCCTCAGGCTCTGCCCTGGTACTTAGCACATGCAGCCCTGGGTGCCTACTCACCTGTCAATGCCTGTGCCCCAGCACCGCCCCCACTAGAAGCCCTTATTCATTGAGTGCCTACTGTGCACCTGCTAGAGTAGAAGTGCCTTGAAAACAGGGTCTGAGTGTCCCCCCTGGGGTCCAGATATAGGCAGCTAGGGGCCCACAGCTGCAGTGTATTAGCTGGTGCCCCAGGCTTTCCTCAACTTCTCTTAATTATAAAATAGGGATTGTTACACATTTGTCTGATAGGGTTGTGGTGAGGACGACAGAGTCGTTGCTTGGAAGAATGCTCACAGAGCATTCAGGAAGCGCTGGCGGTGATGACTGTTGTAGGTGATCCATGACACACACGGGCCTCTCATCTCATGATTCCCATGAGTTCCTGCAGCCCTTTAACTCTACAAGGAAGTTCCTCCTACTTCCTGTTGCTGTAAATGACCTCTAGAACAATGTGTTGTGGGACTGTCTAGGGAAGTGTTCCAGAAGGGGAAACTGAGGCCAAGCTAGGGAGAATGGTTCTATTAGGTTCCTTATAATCCCAGAGACCTGTGAGAAGAATCAGAGTTCATGGTGACCCCTGCTTCCTCTCACTAGGAAATCCCTTCTTGGGTCATGATGCTGGAATCTCCTTGTACCGCCAGCTTGGGCTATCTGATCTTTCACTCGGGCTGGCCAAGAGGAGACAGGAGGCTGGTCTGGTCGTAGCAGATTCCATTCTGGGCTCAGGTTAGACTTGATCCCAGACTTCCCCTGCAGGAACTTGAGTCAGGCAATGTCCCTGGCAGGATCCCCCAGGCAGGATACCACTTCCCTGGTATTTTCAGCTGACTCTTTGGACAACACCCTCTGTGGATATTCACAGCTTCTTCTCAGATACCACAGGCACACGGTACCCTGCAGTCTCAGGGGTGCTAAGGGGTCCCATTGCAGGAGGTGTTTGAACTTTTAAACCAGACCAGAGGATGAAAGGAAACTGTTGCAGCTTCTCCCCCTCCCGGCTTCTATATTAAATAACAATGTCAATGACAACAAAAGGCTACCAAAATGGGAACCAGGCTGGGTTTGGTTTACAGTGGGCCATCTTCTTATTGTATCCTCATAGTGGGTGGGGGGGGGGGGGGGGGGGGGGGGGGGGGGGGGGGGGGGGGGGGGGGGGGGGGGGGG